AAACTGTGGTACATATTAACAACAGCAAGAATTTTATATGCTCAAAAGTGGAAAACAACAGAGATACCAACTATAGAAGACTGGACAGTCAAGATGTGGGAAATAACAGAAATGAACAAATTAACAATGTTGTTGAAAGATAGGTCCGTGGACACATTCTCAGAATAATGGAAACAATTTTATCAATATATATCAGAGGGAAAGAGAAAGACTTTACAGGCAGGTTTGGAGACATAAAATATTGGGACATTCACTTGTAAATGTTAAAACAAACAGAAGTAAACAATTTGCTGGATATAAAGTGGAAGAAAAAATGTTACATTTATAGAGAACCCGACAAAAGAGAATCTGAAAATCCACTTTTATATATATGTTGGTAGTTTTAGAGTTATAGGTAGAAATATAAGTTTGTGAAGCAATTATTGTCAAAGAATGTCTATGTTTATGACTTTATAAGTATTGTTGCTTTGTGTGTGTGTGTGGTTTATTGTTAAAACTTTTAATTAAAAATATTTGGAGGATTGGGAAAAGAATTAAACAATGCTGTGCACAAGCAACAGTGCCTCATAGTGGTGATGGGGAAATTTAGTAGATGGTGATTAAGGAATATTCTAGGGCAGTGGTTCCTAACCTTTGGTCCTCTAGGTGTTTTGGACTTCAGTTCCCACAATTCTTAATAACTGGTAAAATGCCTGGTATTTCTGGGAGTTGAAGTCCAAAACACCCGGAGGACCAAGTTTTGGGAACCATGTTCTAGGGTGACCGGAGCCCCTTTCCTCATATGGTTATCTATCTTGCAACTCACCTCCTCCCACATTAGTTTTTTTTTGTCATGTCAGGAGCAACTTGAGAAACTGCAAGTTGCTTCTGGTGTGAGAGAATTGGCCGTCTGCTCAAGATCCTGCAAGGAAGACTCCAGCAATACATGGAGTGAGAGTTGCCAAATGTACAAGCTGGGTTTAGAAAAGGCAGAGAAACAAGAGACCAGATTGACAATATCCGCTGGATAATGGAGAAAGGCAGGGAGTTTCAGAAAAACATCTATTTCTGTTTTTATTGACTATTCTAAAGCCTTTGACTGTGTGGATCATAATAAATTGTGGCAAGTTCTTGGTGGTATGGGGATACCAAATCACCTTGTTTCTCTCCTGAAGAATCTGTATAAGGACCAAGTTGCAACAGTCAGAACTGACCATGGAACAACAAACCGGTCCAAGATTGGCAAAGGCGTACGGCAAGGTTGTATACTCTCACCCAACCTATTCAACTTGTTTAGAGAAGATAATTATGCTGGGGAAAATAGAAGGAAAAAGGAAGAGGGGCCAACCAAGGGCAAGATGGATGGATGGGATCCTTGATGTGACTGGATTCACCTTGAAGGAGCTGGGGGTGGTGACCGCCAACTGGGAGCTCTGGCGGGGGCTGGTCCACAAGGTCATGAAGAGTCGGAAATGACTGAACAAATGAACAACAAGGACGTTGCCCAGGGGATGCCTGGATTTTTTGATGTTTTTACCATCCTTGTGGGAGGCTTCTCTCATGTCCCCGCATGAGGAGCTATAGCTGAGTTCATCTGCGCTCTCCCCGGATTCGAACCTGCTACCTGTCGATCTTCAGTCCTGCCAGCACAGGGGTTTAACCCACTATTCCACCAGGGGCTCATGAGTAATGTAGTCTGATAATCCCAGGTTCACCCTATCTCTTCTTAATTTCCATACTGCCCCTGAATTTTTCCACTCTCTTGCTCCCTAGGATCTAGTCAAGTTAGGTCAGGTTCAGAATCTCTTTTGTATCAGTAACGGAGTTCTCTTAATAAAGATTAAACTTTAACAGCTAATGGCCTTGCTCCATAAAATACTTTTTCAGCAGTAAGTTTACTCTATTATTATCTTCCTCCATTACACTTGTGCTGAAAGAGTTTTGGGGATACCTTAAACTGCCAAATACAAATGCATTCTAGAGCAAACTTGCCCTCCCTTGACAATGACTACACTGACTCTGTCATACATCAGACATATCATGAGATGCGACTTAGTAGTAAAGACAGTGCAGCTTGATAAAGTAGAAGGCAGTAGGGAAAAATGTGTTTTGGGTGGAGAGCTTCAATCAAGGAAGCAACAGTCCTAAATCAATAATATCGACGTAGTCTAGAATTGCATTGGCTTTTTTAGCTTCCAAGCTTGTGATCTTCCAAGAGTCCTAAATCCCTTTCACGTGTACTGTTTCCAAGCCAGGTGTCACCCATCCAATATCTGTGCATTTCATTTTTATTGCTGAAGTGCAGTACCATACATGTTGGATTTGTTAATTTGGGCCCAGCTTCCTAATCAGTTAAACTCATTTTGGGTTTTGATACCATCACCTGGGGTGTTAGCTATCCCTCCCAATTTGGTGTCATCTGCACTGCCTTATAGTCTGTTATTAATAAAGATGCTGAGTAGCACTGGGGCCAGGACTTAATCATGTGGCACCCCACTAGTCATTTCTCCCCAGGATGAGAAGACATCAGCAAGCACCTGTGGGTTCAGTGAACCAACTCAATCTCAATCTCAATCTACCCAACAATGACATTGTCTAGCCCACATTTTATTAGTTTTTCTGTGAGAATGCCATGTGAAATGTCAAAGAACTTACTTGGCAATAATTGTTTGGGTCCTCTTTTCCTCCTTTTTGAAGAGGTGACATTTATCTTCCTCCGGTCTGCTGAAACTTCTCCAGGAATTAAGGATGACTGCCGGTGGTTCTGAAATTGTGTTATCGAAGACTTTCATGGCCAGATTACTGAGTTGCTGTGAGTTTTCTGGGCTGTATGGCCATGTTCCAGAAGCATTCTTTCCTGACGTTCTGCCCACATCTATGGCAGGGATACTCAGAGGTTGGGAGGTTTATTGGAAAATAGGCAAGTGAGATTTATATATCTGTRGAATGTCCAGGGTGGGAGAAAGAACTCTTGTCTGCWTGAAGCAAGTGTGAATGTTGCAATAGGCYATTCAATGCTAATCAAGGTGGCCAATTGCAACATTCACACATGCCTCAAGCAGAACAGGAAAAGCCACTTCATTTATTTATTTCCAACATTTCTACCCCATCCTTCTCAACCCCCTYCGGGGGACTCAGGGCGGCTTACAACAGCAGCAATTTGATGGCAACAACATACAACACGTTACATACAACATTATACAAAAGATAAAACATTAGGTTAAAATACATTTAAAAGATTGTTATCATGTAGCMRAATCAAAATCTGATTTAGCAACCGACGACCCAGTCCAAAGCCTGTCATAGTCAAAATTCCAACATTATGATTACTGCCAAACCTACTGTCCAAAGGCCTAGTCCCAAAATCATGTTTTGAGCTTCTTTCTAAAAGAGAGGAGGGATGGAGCTGACCTAATTTCGCTAGGGAGCGCATTCCTTCRGGGGGGGCACCACCGAGAAGGCCCTGTCCTTTGTCCCCACCAAATGCACTTGTGAAGGGGTGGGACCAAGAGCAGGGCCTCCCCGGACAATTGTAAATTCTGAGGTGGGACATAGAGGGAGATACGTTTGGACAGGTAAGCTGGGCCGGAACCGTACAGGGCTTTATAGGCCAAGACCAGCACATTTGGAGAGGTGAATTCATCCATTCTTATCTGGATGGATAAATTCAAATTCTGTCGCTTCTGTTTTGATCACAGAGGCAGCCCACATGCTCAGAGTGCACTTTGGGAATGAGCCTGTCAGGTACATGAAGGAACAGGAATGGTGGTAGCAGGTCAAAAATAAATGGAAATGAAGCCAGAGAATGGCAGGCTGCATAGTTTCCCTACCCGTTCTGAAAAGCACAGTTTGAATTCATCCGACCATTCAGATAATTCCTTGATCAGTTAACCTCCAAGAGAAGTGGCATGGTTTCCATTTCCGTTCCTGCATGCACCCAGTTGGTTCATTTCCACAGGAGACCCGAAGTGCACTGGATCCTCTCGGTGAGCAGCAGGGAGAACAAGAGAAGTGTGCTGCTTCTGCTTTATCCGATAGGATGAGGGGATGCACCCCAATATGCTCCAGGAATGAGACCAATGGGTGCATAGAAGAACAGTGGTGGTGGCAGCAGACTAAAGTCCAATGAAAGGAATAGCACTTTCCCCTCTGCCATGCTTGAAAGAGCAGAGGGAGCCTTTGCTTCTTCCAAGACCTCTAAGTGCAGATAAAAATGGTCTGGGCAATTTGGGGGGCAATTTTTGCCACAAATTTTTCAATAATAATAATAATAATAATAATAATAATAATAATAATAATAATAATTTATTTATACCTCACCACCATCTCCCCAAGGGTACTCGGGGCAGCTTACAAGAGGCCAAGCCCAACAACACACCAGTAAAAACAAAACAGCAAGCAAATAAACAGTACAATTAATATAACTCACATATAAACAATAACACAAAAAAAATTAAAAATTTAAAATAAACACTGGGCGTGAACAGAGGTAGGATGTATCTAAGCAGGAGGGTTTTAAAAGATAATGTAGGGAGACCAACCCAACGGGAAGTAAAGTGCTTCTGAGGACAATTGCAGAGAATTAATCAGAGCAGGGTATTGTTTTCTTTATTCAGGGAAGGCGCACTGGAACAGCCACGTTTCAGGCTCCTCCTAAAGACTGCCAATGTGGGGGCTTGTCTGATATCCTTGGGGAGTGAGTTCCAGAGTTGGGGGGCCACCATAGAGAAGGCCCTCCCCCTCGTCCCCACCAATCGCGCCTGCAAAGGGGGCGGGAGTGAGAGCAGGGCTCTCCAGATGATCGAAGAGATCACGTGGGTTCATAAACAGATATGTGGTCATGCAGGTAGGCGGGTCCCAAACTGTTCAATGGCTTTGTAGGTAAGAACCTGCACCTTGAATTGGGACCGGAAAATGAGCCAATGGAGTTCCTTCAACTCATAAACAAGTGTAAAAGAAAACTAAATCTTAAAACTATCCAAAAAATAAACTCACAAAAAATAAAAGAAGAGGTTCAGAAGAACAGCAAAACAAATTATTGAATCTTTATTGTCCAGCACTGTAACAAAAATGAAATACATTATGCTGCAATCTGAACATGATCAAGAATATAACAAAAAAATGGACTGGCTTGGTCTACATGAGGAATTTGGTAAGATCTTCCTTGATTTCAGCTTCATCCCATGGCCCATGGATGTTATCTTTAAACAACTGCAGCCTAATGAGACAGTAAGGACATAAACATGAGATGGAGACCAGAAGGAGGGCAAAAAGAACAGTACCAACACTGGAGATGGTCAGCAGTCCCATCAAGGCAGACATAGCAAAGAGCAAGGTAATGACCATATAGCAATGCGGAGTCTGAGCTTTGAGCTTCTTTTGTAGCATAGGCCACAGGGCAAATATCTGGATAGCAAATGTCACCATGACAAAGGCATGGAAGGAACAAGGAAGCCGTGAGGCCAAACAGACAGAGGCAAAGATGGCCATATTGAGAGACAGTGTACTGGACACAATAGCAGCATTGGCTCCATAGTCATAGAAGATCAAGTGTCCTAGCAGCATAAGGGCAGACATAGCGTAAATCGTATCTGTGCTGATGGACTCTGTTAAAGTCTTCAGTACTGGAGAGAAGCCATAGGTGAAAGCCACAAATACCACAGCATTCTTCAGATCAGCCCACTGTGACTGGTCACTCTGACTTTTTCCTATTCCTGATTCAACTGCATCAAAGAGGACATAGCCGATTAGTGAAGAGATCAATCCAGCTCCAAACAACCACTGGGGAGCTAGCAGTCCCACATCCATGTACCACCAGATGACAACAAAGACACACACACTGCACAGCTGCTGGATCACCAGTCCAGATTCAAATACCACTGCCCAATACTGGTATTTACGTGCATGGACATTTTTGCGTAGCTTCTCTAGAAAGCTTCGGTCCACATAGTTATCAGGAAACGGCTGCCTCTTGTATAACACTTTCTGCCAGCATTGTCTTCTGTTCTGTGCCATCTGGAGACGCAGCATGCATCTGGCCAAATCACTGCCTTCAAGACCCGCTTGCACTGGAATACCACTATGTCACAGAAGATGAAACCTGCATCGATACTTCTTGATGATTTTCCAGATAACAGCTGGAATCTAAAAGCAAGACAACTTAATTAAGCCCAGTTTGCCAAACACAGTCACAAGCAGGCAGTCCCCTTATTTACATATGATCACTACCAATAAAAATGAAAAATTCAATCAGCAAATGAAAGACAGGGTTCAGAAAATGGAAAAGTCAGTACCCTGGATGAGAGCAGATTGATTAGTCAAATCAAAGGGGGTGTACTTACCTCCAGAACTGAAGGCCTCACCACTGCTGAAAAAAAAGTCTACTGATGAGGCAAGGCAATCCAATTGTGAGCAGGAATTAATTCCCTTTTTGCTGCCCTGCAAAAAAGCAGAAGGTGTAAAAGAATATGAGATAAGGGAACTTTTCCAAGGAAGCCCATGAAGGCTTTTTCCCTTGGCGCTTACAACTCTCTTCAAAGAACAGCAAGGAAGTGTGCAAGCAAGAGAACGCCACAACTGTTTTCACATTTTCTATCTTGTTCTTACATTTTCCTTCCTGAGCACCATGATTATCTGCTGGATCCATTTCATCTCGTTTCAGGCCTGGTTTGGCCACTTTTGTAGATGGCCTACATAGAGACCTAGAAATAATGTGTTCCTGTGGATTCTACTGGCTTTTAATAGCATTGACCATGGTATCCTTATGGACAGCCTCACTGAGCTGTGGAGGCATTGTTTTACAGTGGCTCTGTTCCTTCTTGGAGGAGTGAACCAAGCAGTTGGTGCTGGGGGATTGATGTTCAAGTCCCTATCTACGAGGGTTGAATGAAAAGTAATGCCTCCACCTTCGTTACTTGGGTTTGGATGGGAATATTTTAATAAATCAAACGCAGAAATAATCCTTAGAATGTGCTCTTTAACTACCACTATTCACTTTTCCACATAATCACCAGACAATTGGATACACTTCTGCCAACAATGAACACGTTTTCTGAAGCCATCATGGAAGAAGTCGACACTCTCTTTCCGCAACCAGTGTCTCACAGTTCTCTCAATGTCTTCATCAGAAGTAGAATGATGTCCCCGCAGATCTTATTTCATTATCGGGAATAGATGGAAGTCAGACGGTGCTAAATCTGGACTATACGGAGGATGCCGTATGGTGGTGAGATCCAGTCTCTGAAGTTTCAAGTCTGTGTGCTTTCATTTCAGGCGTCAGCATCCTGAGTACCCATCATGCACAGATCTTGCGATAGCCAGGCAAAGCAATAATGTGACCCATACGTTCTTGTGAAATGCCAATTATGCTTGAAATTTCTCTCTAAGTGATACAACAATCATCCTGAATCAATCTGTCAACCTTTTGCTTGTGAAATTCTGTGGTTGTTGTCACAGGACGTCCAACTCTTTGTTTGTCACGCAAGTCAGATGTCCCCACCTCAACATCTTTAAACTTACTTGCCCAACGACACACAGTAATCACATCAGCACAATCACCAAAAACAGCTTGCATTCTCTGATGAATCTCCTTTGGGATGACACCTTCTGCCGTCAAGAATTCAATGACTGCACACTGCTTAAGTCACTTTGACCGACCATTTGCACAGGGTTCCATACTTTGCACTTTAACAACACAACCGTTCAATGCTAAGGCTTCCCGCCAAAACTGAACTGTAGAGAAGAGTCTACTGAACAAGTCAGTACCTGCCGCATACCAGTACTGCCATCTATTGAGGAGTTACAAAGGTGGAGGCATTATTTTTCATTCAACCCTCGTATTGTCCTGTGGGATCCCTCAGGGCTGTTTTGTCCTCCTTGTGTTTAACATACAATGAAACCGCGGAGAGAGATCATTTGGAGTTTTGGAGCGTGGTACTGTCTATATGCACGTAACACCCAATTTTACTACTCCTTTCTACTCAAAGCCAAGGAAGCTGTCCTGGTCCCAAATCACTCTGTCAATAATGCACTGGATGAGGGCAAATATTGAACTTAATGCAGGCAAGACAGAGGTGCTCCTAGCCAACAGTGCTATGGATTTTGAAAAGGCAAGAATATGAAAGGGAGAAATGTGCCAAGGTTTTGCGTCAAGCAAAACCTTGTTGGGACTGCCTTCCATCTGGAAATCTGTCTTCTCACTGTGAAAGAACATGTGGACCTGGAATGGGTTTCTACAGTCACTTACGGACCCACCACCAAGAATTTACCCTTGGAAGACAATCATACTCAGCCACGAGTAATAGCCAATGGGGATTGTTACAAGGAAGCAGGACGAGCTCAGTAGGGAAAAAAGGAGAATCTCTGTGTTAAGGCTGCTGCTGGAGCCACAATCCCTCTGTTTTAATCAAGTTCAGGTTCCAAGGAACTGTGGAACTCCCTGCTGCGACTCAGATCAGCTTGAAGGCAGGGGCCTGCGAGCTCGTCCTCAATACTCAGCCACGAGTGATAGCCAATGATGCTGGCTCTTGGTCAGTCAAAGGCAGATCTGAAACTTTTTGCAGTTTAATAAACTTTTTTTCATGTTGTTATCGAAGACTTTCATGTGTTGTTGAAAGCCTTCACGGCTGTAATGTAAGTTTGAAACACGGAGTGGTTTAGAAGATGCTACTGAAAAATGAGATTAACAGGAAGACATTGGTTATTATATGTTTTTAATGGGTTTTGTACTGATTGTATAATGTTGTTTTAAATGCTTTAATTGTATATTATGGATTGTTATGGCATCAAATGGCTGCGAAATTGTAAACCGCCTTGAGTCGCCTTTGGGCTTGAGAGGGGCAGGATAGAAATATTGTAAATAAATAAATAAATAACCACTGGTTTGCTATGAGTTTTCTGGGCTGTATGGCCATGCTCCAGTAGCATTCTCTCCTGACATTTGGCCTGCACTTATGCATACTCAGAGGGTTGTTTGGAAATGAGACCAGTGGAGTGTATACCTGTGGAATGTCCAAGGCGGGAGAAAGAATCCTTGTCTGTTTGAAGCCCGTGTGTATGTTGCAATTATTGAATCTGTACCTCAGCTATGCTCTTTTTTTTCTCAGCCATATTGTTTTGATGTTGTTTACAATTGTGATTGTTTTATATTTTATCTGATGTTTTTAATTGGTTGTGTTCTATTTGTAATTTTTGGGCTTGTCCCTTGTAAGCCGCCCTGAGTCCCTTTGGGGAGATGGCTGGTGGGGTATAAAAATAAAGTTGTTATTATTATTATTATTATTATTATTATTATTATTATTATTATTATTAACAACAAGCTTAATTAGCATTGAGCAGCTGCAAAGTCAATCAGTGAGAGGCAGCCTGGCTGTTGTTTGCCTGGAGGCATCTTTTTGTTTGGGTGGTAACTGGCACTTCATTGTAACCCAGGAACAATAATCGTGTTTCATACCGTTATTATTATTACTAGCCGTCCCCTGCCACGCGTTGCTGTGGTCCAGTCTAGTGATCTGGAAAATAAAGTAACGAGAAAGTGTTGGTTTCTAATATATATAATTTCATTATGCTTGTGGGCAAACAGTATTTTTGTTGTTTCTTTGTCAGTGTTGATGTGGAGATTTTTTGCCTACTCTGGGATATACAACATATCATTGTCCTTCTTTAGGGGTCCCTTTCAAATCTATGATACTATATCTCTCTGTGTGGCTCTTTGTCAGGAGGGCTTTGATTGTTTTCTTGCCCTGGTGAAGGGAGTTGGACTGGATGGCCTTAAATATTTTTTGTTGGTCATCGAGGTTCTGTGCGGGAAGTTTGCCCCAATTCTGTCATTGGTGGGGTTCAGAATGCTCTTTGATTGTAGGTGAACTATAAATCCCAGCAACTACAACTCCCAAATGACAAAATCAATTTTCTTTGAGTGATGATCACTCCTTGGGTTAGTAGGTGCCTTGTGGCCAGATTTGGTGTCAATTCGTCCAGTGGTTTTTGAGCTATGTTAATCCCACAAACGAACATTACATTTTTATTTATATAGACTAGCCGTCCCCTGCCACGTGTTGCTGTGGCCTACATAGGGGTTCTGTGTGGGAGGTTTGGCCCAATTCTATCGGTGGGGTTCAGAATGCTCTGTGATTGTAGGTGAACTATAAATCCCAGCAACTACAACTCCCAAATGTCAAGATTCTATTTTCCCTAAACTCCACCAGTGTTCACATTTGGGCATATTGAGTATTTGTGTAGAGTTTGATCCAGATTCATCATTGCTTGAGTCCACAGTGATCTCTGGATGTAAGTGAACTACAACTCCAAAACCAAAGGACACTGCCCCTCAAAACCTTTCTAGTGTTTCCAGTTAGTCATGGGGGTTCTGCATGCCAAGTTTGGTTCAATTCCATCGCTGGTGGGGTTCAGAATGCTCTTTGATTGTAGGTGAACTATAAATCCCGGCAAATACAACTCCCAAATGACAAAATGATTTTTTTGAGTGAAGGACATACATTGGGTTGTTAGGTGTCTTGTGTCCAAATTTAGTGTCAATTCGTCCAGTGGTTTTTGAGTTCTGTTCATCCCACAAACAAACATTATTTTTATTTATATTGATTATTATTATTATTGCTATTATTACTCATACTCCTACAACTCCCATGATTGCATAGCAGGAAGCAAATGTGTCAAAATACATTCATTCAAAATATAACTCTGGTCATGAGGCCCTCGCTAAGGGCGATCAGGCTGCAGGCCCGCTTCCCCTTCACATTAAGAGGCCCCCTCCCCTCCCCCCATTCCCGCGCTTTTGTGAGGCACGGCCTCAGAGGGCCTAGGGAGCGCGCGAGCTTTCTGCGCGCGCACCTTGCGCGTCTCGCGCCCTACGTGCTCCGGCCACAAGTCCCGCCTCTACGTCAATCAAGGGCTGAGGGGACGACACATCCCCCTCCTCTCTCCAGAGCTTCCTGCTAATAATCCCAGAGCTGGAAGGGCCCTGGCCTTCCTTACCTTCCTCTCAACTGACGGAGGCGGCCCACAGAGGAGAGGAAGGGGCCGTCCCTTTTCCTCCTCTTCTTCCTCGTTGGTGACTTGCGCCCACTGCCGTTCCAAGTGAGAGACGCCTCAGGTTGGGTCCCTTTCCCATTCACATGCATTGGACCTCATCCACAGAGCATCTGTCTCTTTAAATCCTGTGTCTGCCTCCGTCCCGCTGAATTCTGGGGCTTATAGTTTAAGGAGGGGCCTTTAACCAGCTCAGCCAGGCAGGTTATGGGCCTCACTAAACTACAAACCCCAGAATTCTGCAGGAAGGAGGCGGCCATAGCATTTAAAGTGGATCCGTGCTCTAGTTCAGAGTTTCTCAAACTTCTTCATCCCCTTTTAAAGGAAAAGTTTCTCATGGAGCCCCAAGAAATGTTTATATATTATACTAGCCGTCTCCTGGCACACATTGCTGTGGCCCAGTCTGTATATATGTGTTTTGTGTGTGCATATACTATGCTGTCGCACGCTGGGCCTGTGCATAAGACTGTAGACAGGACATAAATTCTTTGTGCCCAACGGGACGCCGGGGCTGCCTCAGATTAAAGGCCCTTGGATTTCCTTAAAACAAAGTCTTTAGATTGCTTAAAGGTTCACCAAAGTTCTTTATTAATGAAAACAAACAGGTACTTTAAAGCTTTCTTAACAGTCTATTGTCTCTTGCAATCTTGTTCACTGGGAACAGGCACTATCTTCATAACTGTATACTAACTAATGGGGAAATCCTTAACTTCTAATCTGGGCAGTCTGTACTTGCCTCTGTTGGCGTGAAGCCCCTGCACCCGGTACCAACTGCGCCTGGCTTCCGCGAGCGACCCTTACCAAGCAGAGCTTTGTAGACTTCCAGGGGAAAAGAAGGAGTTCAGGTTTCGGTGATGGCTGGCTGAAGTCCCTCAGCAAAGGAGCTGTAAAGCTGCAAAATCCTCAGCCAAGCTGTGGGGCCTTTTCTCCCCGGCCAAGCTGTAGAAGACGAAGCTTTCTACAGGTGCTCTTGGTATTATGTCCTGCATGAAAGCTTCTCTGTGTGGACTGACCCAAAAAGGCTCCTATTCCCTCCAAAAACCCAAAAAGGGGGCGGGACCAGGGAACCTAACTATAATTGACAGGTGGCTTGCCCTATGATTGCAGCCAAAAGAAGCCACCTATCTGCAGAGTCCCTGAAACTTAGGACTACAACAAACATTAAATGCAAAGCAAACAAAATTGGAGCTCCTGGTACAGCTGTACCTGCACACATATATAATAGGTATAATATTCATGTTTGTGTGTGGTTTTGTGCATGTATTGTAATGTATTTTTTTGGCTTTTTAAGTCTTTTCTGCTGTGTTTTTCAGTGTTTTTATGAGTGATGGTCACTCGTTGGCCTGATAGGTGTATTGTGTCCAAATTTGGTGTCAATTCGTCCAGTGGTTTTGGGTTATGTTAATCCCACAAACAAACAAACATTACAATTTTTTTAAATTTAGACTAGCCGTCCCCTGCCACGCGTTGCTGTGGCCCAGTCTGGTGATTTGGAAAATAATGAGAAGGTGTTGATTTCTAATATATGTAATGTATTTGTGCATGTGGGTAAGCAGTATATATTGTTTCTTGGTCAGTGCTGTTGTGGAGATGGTCTGGTTTGCCTACTTTGGAACAGGCAACATATTATTGTCCTTCTTTAGGGGTCCCTTTCAAATCTGATACTATATCTCTGTGTGTGTGAATCATATATATCTATGGCTGGATGGCTCTTTGTCAGGAGGGCTTTGATTACTTTTTCTTCCCCTGGTAAAGGGAGTTGGACTGGGTGGCCTGAAGTATTTTCTGTTGGTCATGGGGGTTCAGTGTGGGATGTTTGCCCCAATTCTCTCGTTCGTGAGGTTCAGAATGCTCTTTGATTGTAGGTGAACTATAAATCCCAGCAACTACAACTCCTAAATGTCATGGTCTATTCCCCCCAAACTCCATCTGTGTTCATATTTGGGCATATTGAATATCTGTGCCAAGTTCAATCCAGATTCATCATTGTGTGAGTCAACAGTGCTCTCTGGATGTAGGTGAACTACAACTCCCAAACTCAAGTTCAATGCCCACCAAACCCTTCCAGTATTTTCTGTTGGTCATGGGAGTTCGGTGTGCCAAGTTTGGTTCAATTCCATTGTTGATGGAGTTCAGAATGCTCTTTGATTGTAGGTGAACTATAAATCCCAGCAACTACAACTCCCAAACGACAAAATCATATTTTTTTGAATGATGGTCACTCCTTGTGTTGTGTGACATTTTGTTGCCAAATTTGGTGTGATTTCGTTCATTGTTTTTAAGGTACTCATTATGCACAGAGCATTTATATATATATAGATAGTCTGCCCACTCCCCACCCCCCATCAGACTGTGAACTGGCCCTCAGTTTAAAAAGTTTGGACACCACTGCTCTACAGAATTTCCATGTGAAATAGAGGGACATGTTGTACTTTATAAATTTGCTGTGCTCAATTTTTTCAAAAATACAAAACAATTTTAAGACTATATTTGATACATTTTATTCTCTTTTATTTAAGGATATAATTGCTGTTGTATAATTTGTGTTTTTTGAAGGGATTAGTAATAATTGAGCAAAATTTAAATCATGGTATGTTTCCCAGTCTTGTTTCACAACTTACTTGAAAGAAAGTCACATTTTTGTTCAGTCTGAACGCTTGACTGCTATGCAGGATTGTATGCCTCTTGTTTAAAATATTTTTAGTGTCTGATTTCCTTTTTGTTTTATTGTATTGGATATATACTTAATCAGTACAATGAAACCAAGAGATCCATGTAATATGAAAAGTGCACCTCTCTCATCCTAGGTAGTCATGAATGTGATGAGTTTTTAAAATGACCAAAGAAGCCCCAAGGAATGAAAAGCCAAGGACCATAAACCAGAAAGAAGTTGTGGAGTCTTTGGAACTATTGTCGACTGTCGTCTTCAAGGGCTTCAGAACTCGGTCCCACTCTGTCAGGATTGTGCTTCTGGCTTGTTCCCATTTCCCAGGTCCAGTCAGACGGAACTGATAAGAAGTGCAAGGTCCACAAAGAATTTTAAAGGCTAGTTGGGGGTCCAATAGGAAGAGCAACAGCAAGTTAGGCTTAACCCCTACACAAGCAGCAATTTCATCCATGTAGGCAACAAAGCTTGCCTTTGCACTGTCCTTTTCCATGGGAAATCCCCTGTAGTAGAAGAGAAACAGAAACACCATCAAGCTTTCAAGCAATCCCAATCATATTCTAGTCATAAAGCTCAGCACAGGCCTCCACAGGATTATTCAGGTATTTGTTACTGAACATGTGAAGGAGCCGGGAAAAAGTAAAGTAATAGCCCACCCTCTGTTGATTTAGGACAGAGGTCCTCAAACTAAGGCCCGGGGGCTGGATGCGGCCCTCCAAGGTCATTTACCCGGCCCTTGCTCAGGGTCAACCTAAGTCTGAAACGACTTGAAAGTACACAACAATAACAACAATCCAATCTCATCAGCCAAAAGTAGCCCCCCCCTTCCCATTGAAATACTAATAATTTTATATTTGTTGAAATTGTCCTTCATTTTAATTATTGTATTGCTTTTAAGTGTTTTTTTTGCACTACAAATAAGGTATGTGCAGTGTGCTTAGAAATTCATTCATAATTTTTTTCAAATTATAATCCGGCCTTCCAACAGTTTGAGGGACTGTGACCTGGCCCTTTGTTTAAAAAGTTTGTGGACCCCTGATTTAGGATATACCAGCAACAACAATTGAAAGAATCCCCTAAAGGGCCTATATTTGTCAAGGGACTGTTGTCAGGGATATGTATGTACGAGGGTTGAATGAAAAGTAATGTCTCCATCTTCGTAACTCCTTAACAGATGGCAGTACTGGTATGCGGCAGGTACTGGCTTGTTCAGTAGACTCTCTTCTACAGTGCAGTTTTGGTGGGAAGCCTTAGCATTGAACAGTTGAGTCGTTATAGTGCGAAGTATCGTACCCTGCACAGACGGTCAGTCAATTCAACTTAAGCAACATGCAGTCATTGAATTCTTGACAGTAGAAGGTGTCACCCCAAAGGAGATTCATCAGAGAATGCAAGCTGTTTATGGTGATTGTGTTGATGTGAGTACCGTGTGTGGTTGGGAGTGTAAATTTAAAGATGTTGAAGTGACACCTTCTGCTGTCAAGAATTCAATGACTGCACATTGCTTAAGTCGCATTGACCAGCCATCTGTGCAGGGTTCCATACTTCACACTTTAACAACACAACCATTCAATGCTAAGGCTTCCTGCCAAAATGGAACTGTAGAGGAGAGTCTACTGAACAAGCCAATACCTGCCACATACCAGTACTGCCATCTATTGAGGAGTTACGAAGGTGGAGGCATTACTTTTTATTCAACACTCATATGTATGTATGTCTTGCTGAGGCACTATCCAGGACAGCCAGAAAATACTATCCTCACTTCCCAATTCTTGTTTAATGTAAGACATTATGGAAATGTGTTATTGTTTCAAAGTGTGCTTCTCCAGTTTGACTTCAGCTCCCAGAAATCCCAGCCCTCTTACCAGCTGTTAGGAATTATGGGAGCTGAAGTCCAAAACATCTGGGGGAGCACAGTTCGAGAAACTGATCTATGCAAAACTTAGTTGACTCCATGATGAGGGGCTTCAGGACAGCTTCAATGACATCTTAGGCTTTCTGAGAGCTTCTAAGATTAATGTACAAATTGCTTGAGTGAACATTAGACAGAGTAGTAGAAAGTCGTCACTTTTAATCACGTACATAACCTCTTTAGTTATGTATGTGAGCAGCCACAAGTGGCACAATGGGTTAAACCAGGGGTCCTCAAACTTTTTAAACAGAAGGCCAGGTCACAGTCCCTCAAACTGTTGGAGGGACGGATTATAATTTGAAAAAAGCATGAATGAATTCCTGTGCACATACTTCATTTGTAGTGCAAAAAACACTTTAAAACAATGCAATTATTAAAATGAAGAACAATTTTAACAAAATATAAACTTATTAGCATTTCAATGGGAAGTGTGGGCCTGCTTTTGGCTGATTAGATAGGATTGTTGTTGTTGCGTGCTTTCAAATTGTTTCAGACTTAGGTTGACCCTGAGCAAGGGCCAGATAAATGACCTAGGAGGACCGTATCGGGCCCTCGGGCCTTAGCTTGAGGACCCCTGGGTTAAACCCTTATGCCAGCAGGACTACTGACTGATAGGTCAGCGGTTTGAATCAGGGAAGAGTGGGTTGAGCACCCTCTGTCAGCTCCAACTCCCCATGCAGGGACATGAGAGAAGTCTCCCACAAGGATGGTAAAACATCAAACATCTGGACGTCCCTTGGGCAACGTACTTGCAGATGCCAATTCTCTCACACCAGAAGCAACTTGCAGTTTCTCATGTCGCTCCTGACACACACACACACACACACACAACATCTTTAGTGGGACTTTATTCTGGGGTGCCAGAATGGTGAAATTTGGGGGCCTTGGAAACCAACAAACTTGAGTGCCACATTCCACTTCCTCAAAACTGGTCATCTATTCATCATATTATGTAAATAATTCAGATTATGCAAATTACTATAATTTACAAACACAGCACATTACTTGTTACATTGCCCATCTTCCCAATGTTTCGAACACCATATCATTTTTTTCAGTATCGGTATCAACCGCCATACCATTTTTACAGTTAACAACTGATCTAGAAGAACCAGCTCACAGTCTCACAGCTGTGGGGCTTCCTACCTAAAGAAGTTAGAACTTTTTAAAAAGTTTCCAACAGGAAGCCAAAACAGTGGTTTTCTGCACAGATTATGGGCAAAACAATGATTCAAACAGGCCCTGAGTGGCATACATAGAATCTGGGTAAGTGCTGGTTATCCAGGTGGTATGGCAACCTTACTAAAGAATCTCTATTAAGGACCTTATCACATTGGGCTATAATCCATTTATATCAGTATGCATCCCATATTATTTTCACTACTAGGTGCATACTGTATTGAGACAGGATGTAAACTCTCCTCATCACACCCGATTATAAAGATTCTTATGATTTGAAATTACTGTGCTTCGACTTATCACACCATAGAAGGCTGGCTCCTTCCAATCCATTCAAAACACCCCTTACATCACTCTATGATAAGTATAGTTGCTGGTGGGATACATACAGATATTTCTATCACACACACAAAAAGCACTTCAGCAACGGAAAAATACGTAGTATTTCAAAAAACACACAATTAGAATTCCGTCTGGAAATAATCCATTTGCAAATGGATTCCGACTCAATACTGACGGGATGGGGCAAACATCATGTGATGGGACCCGTTCAAAATCATTCTCAGTCTCAGAAACAGAATATTTCCTAATGTGATAAGGTCCTAAGTTTGCCACAACTGACTCCATCCCCACTACCACACCCAGTGTACAAAACATAACATACATTTTAAGAAGAGTTGTCTTCCGTTTAGCAACTTCACAAATCATTCTGTTTGCTGATGGGACTTTACACGAACCTGTATATGAGAAAAACACTGTTCACACATAATTTAATTGAATGTAATCTTAGCCTGGCTGCCTTGATGTGTAAATGAGGTTTGCATTGGAATAGTAACTACCTTTATTGGAATACCTTTGTTAATCTGTAATTCTAATTAGACATAATGATAACAACAGATCCACCTTGGATTTTACATGTCAAATCGGAAGCCAAAGCTTTAAAGCAAGTGGGACAGAGAGCACAGGCTACGTACTTTTGTAATCAAGGTTTTTTATGTTTCTGATTGGGAGGGTACCTGCAAAAAGATGTTTCTTGCATATTACTGTACCAAGTTATCTATAAATCTACAATTGTAGTCTAAAAATTAATTTATCCACATGTTAATATAAGTACTTTATCAATTCCTATCAAAAAGCCTTCCGTGCTTAACTTTTATCCAGAAAGGAACCAACCCATTTCATGACTTGTGGTGAAAGGCCATTTTGAATGTCTGGGTATAAAAATGGTCCTTTGTCTGCTGGTCATATCCAAATCTATAGTTTTGGCACAAAACCTGCCCTTGAGGTATACACAAATATATAACGTAATGAAAATATATGCGAGGGCCATATTGCCTATTCGGTGGTTAACATCGTATTCCATATGTGTATGAAGTAGTAAAGGAGGGGATGCTGGATTTCAACATCAGTTAGAACTTGGGGTGGAGAGGAACAGAAAAGGAATTTGGGTGTTCGACCTTTGTACATACGCTACCGTTGCTGGTAAAAGCAGTTTCCCATGGAATAGAGAGCTTGGAAATAATTGATTAGAAAGAATATTGTATTCCTTGCCTAATAAGTTCATAACATCAACAGATACAATAAATTTGTGAGTTTGAAAATAATGTTAATAGTATTATCTAACAAAGGAATTTACAATGTATTGTCAAAGGCTTTCATGGCCGGAATCATTGGCTTG